TGGTTGAGATGATCGTGCCAAGCCATCTCACTGAGGGTCCCCTCAGCCTCTACTTGACCACACGTGATGTCCTCCTCCAGCAATTAATCTCTCTTGGTGACATGTTTAAAGCAAATGAGTCGGATAGTGTTCTGTTGGGATCCCTAAGATTACCCTTGGCTGATTTTCAGAAGTAGATCACCAAGCCTTTCTTCCAAGTCTGTCTTAGTCTGGAAGCTCTGCTGAAACCTGTCCACTGTGCATGATCCTGCTGCTATTTGAAATACTGGTAGCATAGCTCCCAGCATCATAGCAACATGCAACATGTAAGCCACTACATATGACAAACTGATGGATGGGTTAGATAGATAGACAGGCAGACAGATAGATAGATAGACAGATAGATTTTTTATTATTACAGTTATGGAATAGATCATATACAAAAAGACTATGAAATGCATCATACATAAAAAGAAAATAATTTGATTGTTATAATTATGAAATAAAGATACATAAAAATAGTAGAAAAGAAACACTGTGTACCGACCAACCAACTCAAGACACTGAAATGTCCTCTGTGTTCTTCTGTGGTCCCAGGGATAACTACGAGCATAAATTTTATCTTAATCATACTACTGATCTTCTTTATGGTTTGACCCACATATATATTCATACCTGAACAGTCCAGTGTTTTCTTTGGCCTGGGTTTTATTTATTTACTTATATAAATAGAGTCACACAGAAGGTGTTTTTCTGTGATTTGTTTTTCACTCCACATTATGCATTTGAGGGCCATCTATGTTACTAGATGTTAATATCATTCATTACTTTCCACTGCTCTGTGGTACTCCTTAGGGAGCTCTGGTGGCACAGTGGGTAAGGCACTTGGCTGCTAACCAGAAGGTTGGTGGTTCAAACCCACCAGCTGCTCCATGGGAGGAAAATGAGACAATCTACTTCTTAAAGAGGTACACCCATGGAAACTCTATGGGGGCCGCTGTGAATTGGAATGAACTCAATGTCAGTGGCTTTGGCTTTTTGGTGGTACTCCTTTACATTAAGGTATACCGATTTATGTAGCCATTCCTTTTCCACAAACATCCAGGTTGCTTCCAATTGTTTACCCTAAAACTACATTCCTGTGAACATCTTTGTACAATGTGCAAGAGTGTCTGTGATGATGGGAATGTTGTCTGACTGCACTCACCAATGTGGAAGTGATTGGCCACATAAGACTATAGGAAACTTGAAGTGTGACTAGTGCAATGCAGGACCTGGATTCCTCATTCATTTGAAGCTTACTAGCACAGTTTTAGGAGCTCTGGTAGCATAGTGCCTAAGGCACTTGACTGCTAACCAGAGGGCTGGTGGTTCAAACCCACCAGCCACTCCTTGGAAGGAAGGTTGGCCAATTTACTTCTGTAGTGACACTGCCTCAGAAACCCAAGGAGGGGTCTCTATGTGCCGGGTCCGACTCAATGGCACATAACAACAACAACAGTAGCACAGCTCTAGGAGCTGCACAGCTCTAGAATATGTACATCCAGGAGTATAAGTGCTGAGTTGTAAGACACACACAACCTCACCTTTACATAGTAATGCCAAGTTGTTTTCATTCAATGCTTCTCTTTTTCTGAGTCTCTCTTGTTTGTACAAGGCTATCTTAGAGTCTGACTTAGTGAGTTAGACCTTTCATACATTGAAGAGAAACGCTATTATCTTCCTTGCCTATGATGCATTATTTTGCTTATAAACTTGTTTCTGGCTTTGAAAATTTCTCATCTGTAGAGTGAGGATGTGTGGGGAAGAAAGAAGGTGATTAGTGGTAAACATGAACTTAAGATAATGTTCAGTATTACATTTTACATTCATGATGATTAATTTCTAAATGTCTAATTTGCAAAAGATAAAGGCTGCCATTCCTCACCTTTACCGGGATGTGAAATGGAGTTACTCAGGCTTCACGTCAAAAGTCCTGATGTAGTGCACCATTAGCCATATAGGACCAGCCTCACCATACATGGTATTCAACCCTGCAATACTGACATGAGAATGGGAAGGTAGAGGAGATCTGCTCAGAGGTGGTTTGATGGCCGGTTCAGTGATTGTACATATTTGTGTCTGCCTCCCCACAGGAAAGTCTGGATACCTACTGCTTCCTGGTCTTCGCTGCAATCTGTGTCGCAGGTGCTATCTACTTCTATTTTGTCCTGCCTGAAACCAAAAACAGAACCTACGCAGAAATCAGCCAGGCCTTTGCCAAAAGGAACAAGGCATACCCTCCAGAGGAGAAAATTGACTCAGTTATAACTGATGATAAGACCAATGGAAGACCTGAACCAGACTCCTCCTCCACACTGGACAATCATGCTAAAGACAGGGTTGTCTAGATGGACAATCTTGTCATTTCAGGAAGCCAGAGACTTCCCTGTTTTGGGGAAGGCTCAAATCGATTGGAGCCATGCAAGCCTTACATTTTTGAGTATTTAAAAATAAACTTGTATATGCTAATCTGACATCACCGCTATTTGGGCTTTATTCATAGCAAATCCCCCAAACTGTTCTGGAAGCTGGAAAGAGCTGCTCTGTCTCTCAGAAGACCAATTGTTCTTCTGTATAGATCAATGGCATGGCTTGTTCATAATTTAACCTCTGCTTTCAAAAGAAAAATGGGAAAATAGTATTTGAATGCTTTCTCAGAGGAAAATAATGTGGCTTGATTGACTCAATGGGCTGGAAATTACAACTGAGGTTCTAGTCCTGGACCCACTATAAGTATCCTTAAGCTGCCCTCAAACTGGTCCCAGAAGCTTTATGGACGCTTAGGTTTTGACCTGGGTGACAGCTTCTAGCATTTGGTAGAAAGACTCATAGTCCTTCCTAGTAAGAGCCTGTCATCAATCTTTTGCTCTGCCTTGCTGACCTCAGACTAGAGAGAGCCTAATGCCAACCCAACATCTCCTAGGTTCTGCCTTTCCCAGGCTGTGTCCCATAGGGCTCAAGATATGTAGCTCCAAAGCCATTTTCCTCTCAGAGGACTAGACCTCTGTGGGCTCCTGGAAGGTATAATGAGGATTAATATGTGGAAGACCTAGAGAGGCAGATATAAGAAGTAACTTTCCAATAACAAGGGAAGGGACTGCAAATTGAACTCCATTCAGTTGAAAACCAATATTGAGAATGATTCTGAGGCTAAGCCTAGGCCTGGTGGGAAGGAATACTGTGATTACTTGACAGTGTCTGCCACAGGTACGGAAGTGAGTATCTCAGCACATGCAACTAATGTTTGCCAAGCCTAGGAGAGATTTATCTGAAAATGTAATGAGCTGCCTTATAAGATGTTGAGTACACCATCACTGAAAGTACAAGAGCTGGATGATTGCTCATCTTGATTGTTGGTAAGGAAACCCAAGCATTATTTTTAGGGAAAGAGAGTTGGACTAGAGGACTAGTCCATTCTAGTGTGGACTAGTCCAACTAGAATGGACTAGTATTCCATTCACATAGTGGAATATTATGCTACATTAAAGAACAATGAAGGATACATGAATCATCTCACAACATGGATGAGCCTAGAGGACATTACGCTGAGTGAAATAAGTTAATTGCAGAAGGACAAACACTGTATGAGCCCATTATTGTAAAAAGACAAAGGGTTTGCTTGAGAAAGGGAAATCACTTTGTAGATTACTGGGGTGGAGAAAAATGTCACTTTGAATACTAACATGTGCCTGACCCAAGCCATGGTATTTTCAATCACCTCATATGCATGTGAAAGCTGGACAATGAATAAAGAAACCAAAGAAGATTACATGAAGAAAGCAAGAGGTCACTGAAAAGACGAGAAAAG